CTGGGGAGACCTGAGGATTGGGGGGTGGGGTTATGTGGGGAGTTGGAGGGCAGCAGCGAGGCTGAGGGGAGATAATGAAGCGTCTCCAAAAGCCTATCTTTTTACATCATAGCAAATTGAATTTTTAAAAAAATTACACCATAAATAAAATACCTTTAAGCCCTTGTTGACAGGACTGGCACTCGGTCCGAATCGTCTAGAGGTTAGGACAACACGTTGTGGCCGTGTAAACCCAGGTTCGATTCCTGGTTCGGACAGGTTTTTTGTTCCTTGTAACGTTACCTTACTTGCTTCTCCTGACCACGTGCGGCGTCTGTGTTTCTATCTCGTGTCCTTACTTGCCTCTGTTCAGCCCCCTATGTTACCCGTCGCTAAGGGACAGAACACCACTCACCACAGCCTGTTTTATGCATGCGCAGCATACATAATACAGTTCCGTGTATGCGGAACCATGCATGGAAGTGGACAGCGGGTGCTCCACAGAAACCTCAGTTTGGAGCGGGTGTATTCATCTACTCAGCTGATACCGTTGTGCATGTACACGTATTCTTTTTTCAGGAGCAAACCGTTAAAATCGAAGGGGTTCTTATTAGGAATCTCTTGTAGTACAAATTGTTACAGGATTACTACTAGCATATAGATATACTAGTGAAATGTCACATGCTTTTGCTAGTGTACAACATATTATCGCAGACGTGTCTTTCGGTTGGGAATTTAGATTCCTACACGCTACTTGAGCAGGCATCGGCCTAACCGTCTGCGCCCCTGCGGGTGCGTGAGAGACTCTTTTTCTTGTGCAGAAGAAAAGAAAGGCAGATGCTGCCGTAGATACCAGCGCCACTGCTGCCTGCTGCCCTCTGCAGCACAGGGGTTGCTGTTCCTTTGCAGATATGAAATCGTCAGGTCAAAACCATAAGCACTTAGTCTGCAATCTCTATGCCCAACTAAACTACACCCCAACAAAAACCCACCTAGACACTAAATAAACTGAACTCTTTGCAAAATAAGCCCTGGAAAAAATGTAAAACTTACACTGCATTAACAAATCCCTGCTCAAACTAAACACCAAGCTATACCCTTCCTAAATCCTGCCTAAACCTTACCTAAACTTTGCCCTGGTAGAACCTTTCCTAAGCCCTGAGATGAAGAGTGCCTTGCAGAAGCCTGCCCAAGCCTTGACTAAACTAAACCCTAAAAGAACCCTACCTACCGTGGCTGGACTCTAACTAAATCCTAGAGCTGTGGTACTGTTCGATGACAGTACGCCTGCCTGGCTAATTCGACCTTCCGGCTGCGGAGGAGCGTGTATCCCGCCGCCTACGCGCGGGTTCGATGGTCTCGTTTAAATCACCATTGAAACCTGTGGGTCATTGCATGCAAATGAAAAAAACACTACATGGGGACGTCTTGATGCTGTTGGGGAGCTCCAAAGAAGCCCCCGCCCTGCACTGCAGCCTCTGCTGCCTGCCTGAGGCGCTCAAACCCGGTATACCCTGTAGGCGAGCCCTCATTCCCCCTTTGCGAGCAGCAGCTGCAACTGAGTTTCCACGCGGCCTTTGGGTTGACGGGTTCACCTGTGGGGGTGCTGGACTGGGGAGAGCCAGTCGGCTGCAGTGCATTGAGGCTATCAGCAAGAGAAGGTTCAGAAGCGGCTAAGAGCTCATGCGTGCGCTGCAGCAAACCCCCTTTCATCAAGTCCTGCAGCTTGGAGCGCAGACAGTGCTGCCGCCTGGGTGGCGGTGCGCTGCGCCTTTGACGCCAGTGCTCCTCTGCACAGCCGACAGACGCATGCAGCACCGCACACAGAGCAACCGGTAGACAAAACGTCTCCACCTTAGCGAGGTGTCACTCGCTGCTGCTAAGTGTTGCCCTCGCGCGGTGTGGCCGCTGCTGCCGCTGCCGCTGCTACCGCTGCTGCCGTTGCCGCTGTTGCTGCTACCTGCACCCCTTGCATTTTGTGTGCTATTCCCATGCATGCACGTGCCGCTGCTGAGTGGAAGCAATCGAACACCTGTGAAACGCACTCAAAAAGGACAGAGAACAGCAGCCAATGCACCTACCGGAGTGTGAAGGTTCCTTTGTTCCTGTCTCCTCCGCTGCAGCTGCTAGAGCCTCCCAGGCCTCTTTGAGCAGGGGAGCGACACAGCGAGCGCAGTGCAGCTGCTGGGTGTAAAGAGAGGGGGAAGATTCTGAAAGTATTCGCGCAGGCGGAAGGGACCCTAGCAACTCCAGCATGGCCTCCAGGGCAGCTGCCGCGTGGCTGCGTACCTTGGTGAGCTGGGAGGCGCTCAAACAGAGGCAGACCCCCCGCCAAAGCGGCACGAAAAACCTGCAGCGCAGCAGCAAATGCATGCGTCAGCGAATGCATGTGGTAGCAAGTGTATGCGTCATAGAGTTGCAAGCCAGCGGGCGAAAAAGGAGCAGTCTTTTGAGGGGCGAATGGCACAGGCAGTGGGGGGGAAGGGGGAGTGGGGCTCAAGTAGCTAGACGCTTCCTGCACAGCCGGCTGCATGCATGCATCCATCCACCCATCCATGCACTTCAGGACCCTTGGTGCCAGCCCAACTAACATAAGAAAACGCGCAGAACCGAAAGGAACAAACACGCATCAAGCCAGGCTGCGCAGACTAGAACATCCAAAGTTTTGCAAAACAAAAACACGGGAGGTTTTGTCACCCCTAGACAATCCACATTAGCAGCAATATACACCCAGAAACCAACAAGATGCGCAATAATCGAACGACAAACCCCCAAGATCAAGCAAACAGTCTAGGAAACGACGACACAGGCCGCAAAACCCAGCATACCGAGCGACCAGAAATAAACAAAAAAGAAGCAGCGAAGGCGGAAGCCTCCATCTGCTCTGTAGCGACATTCGAGCTCACTTGCTGCACTCTGTGTCAATGAGTTGGGAAGCCGCATGCGCAGAATAGAGAAGCCGGATGCTGTTGCATGCGTTCCACTGCAGTTTCAGCTGCTTGAGCCCCCAGCCAGCAGCCGCAGTAGCCGCACCACCAGCAGCAAGAGGCTGTGACGGCAGCGGCGCCCCTGCAGCGCCGGTCTGTATAGCAGCTTCCCTGTAGCAGCAGCTGCTGTCGGGTTCCCTGTCGCAGGCCTCCCGCTGCCCCCTGCAGGGTGGCGTGTGCGGGTCTTCCGCTCTTCCCGTAACCTCTCCCCTTGCGGACAGCAACACCGCTGCCAGCACTGCCAAAGAACGCAGCACCTCATCCAAAGGTCGCTGCCTCCCCACGTCTGACGCACCTTCCCTCCTCTCGCCATCCCCCTGGGAGGACTCCTCAGGAGGCCTTTTGCAAGCATGACGTAGGTCTTCCTTGACTGCGACGGGCCCCGCCGCCTCCACGATAGACAGCAACAGAACAAGGGGTGTCACCGCCCCGATCGCCCTCAGCCCCACCGCAACTGCTGCCGAGGCGTTGGTTTGTGGCTGATGCTGCTGCTGTTCCAGCACGTCGTTGATGCCCTTCAGAACCCCCACCCACACATCCCCTCCTGCAATCGATAGGCTGTGGCTCATCTCCCCCTTCTGGTGCTGGCGTTCCTCGTCCTGCTCCTTTGGCTGCTGCTGCTGCTGATGCTGTTGCCGCTGCTGCACGGCACCGGCTGCCTCGCACAGGGCGCCGAGCACTGCAGCGCGAACGTCGTGAAGAGGTGTGTCAAGCTGCAACAGCAGAAGGTGTAAGGTTTCCCTGAGCAGGGTGTCGTTGTCTGATAGTTGGCATTCTTCGGGAGGCGCTATATCCTGTGCAGTTTTTGCTGCCTCATCTGCTGTTTCCTCTCCACCCGATGAAGGAGCTGCACGGTGATGCTGATGCGGCTGTCCGTGCGTCTGTGCTGCGAAAGCCCCCAAAGCAGTCGCAGCAGCGATCCGGACACTGCGGGGCCTTTCAGGTGCCATGAGGCCCCTCAGAGTCCCCAATGTCTCAAAGTTCAACAAGCGGCAGCGCCGCCACTCCTCCTGTGTCACCCGGCACAGGAACGCGCATGCGCTCACCAGCAACTCTGGATGCTGCTCCTGTTCCTGTTGTTGCTGTTGCTCTTGTTGCTGCTGTGGCTGCTCCTGCTGCTGGTCCTGCTGGTGCTTTTTCTGCTGTTGCTGCGCCTGCTGCTGTTGCAGCTGCGGGTCGGGCGACGCCGCAAAAGTGGTTGTGGGCCTCCCTTTGAGCAGCGGAGTAATGAGTTGCGACTGCAGCAGCGCAACAAGGGCTGCGCGGGGTCTGTACAGAGCGGAGTCACTGGGAGGAGACTGAATGGGGGCCCGTGGGGCCATCGGAGTGAAACCACCGCGAGGTTGAGAGTCCGAGGGGGCTTCGGTTGAGTCCTTTAACGGTTCTTGAACTGCTGGCGGCAAGACTTCCAGCGCGAGCTGCACTCCCTTGCAGCGGAGCGAAGAACAGGGCGCAGCCAGCAGCGCGCGAAGCACTCCGAAGAATGGGCCTTCAGATTCCCTGAGGGGATGAGAAGCTCTGCTCGCAGCTTCAAGGCATACATCGCCCCTTTCCAGCAGCAGCAACGCTTGGGGGTACTGCCGACTGGTGGCCTGCAGCGCTGCAAACAGTCCTCCAAAGAGGGCCTGCCCCTGTCTCGCGCAGCTGCTGCACGACCCCCTATCTACCTCCGCCGGTACACTTACTGCCCAGCCGCTGCATGACGCTGCATCGCAAAAGCAGCGCTCTACGGGCAGAGCGCCCCCCTGGAGGCCCTTTGGTGAGGAGCCTCCGCCGCAGCTGTCCTTTGGATGCATTCGCTGAGGCCCCCCTGCATCGAGGCCTGATGAGACATGAAGAGAGCGCTCTTCAAGCGCACGGGGGTGTTGGAAGGCAGCAAAGTTGGCACGGAGAGACAGCAAAGCCTGCAGTGCCTTGCAAATAAGATACACCAGGCAAGAAGGCCCCGCCACGCTCGCCTGCCTCCCCACCGGCACAAGCAGAGCCTCCGCTATTTGGGGCTGCCGCTCTTTGCCACCCACCACAGCAGCAATCATCGCCAAGGTAGGAGCCACTAGCCTCAAGGCCAAGGGGCCTCTCGCCACCACCTGCCCAGCGAAGGCCTCGAAGCCTTTCGCCAGACTGCATGCACGCTGGGGTGTCTCTGTGCCTTGTACCGTCTGCGCCGAGGTTGCGAATAAACCGGATCCTACCCCCTTATCTGGCTGCACGGATGGCGGGCCACCAGCAGTAGCGCCAGCAGTCGCAGCAGCAGCAGCGGCTGCTGCTGCTGCGTGGGTCCGTCGTGCAACAATGGCAGCAGATGTAGCCAGAGCCGTGCACTCAGGGCCGGTGGCTTCAGTTTCCTTCTTGCTGAAGCAAAAGCAACAAGACAAGTGCTTCCGCTGTTGCGACAGCTGCTGCATCTGCGTATCGAGTGTCTCAGCAAGCAGCAGCACCACAGGGTGGGCAAGACGAAGCGCAGCAGCCGAGACGCCGGGCTCCAGGAGACCCGCAGGCAGGGCTGGAAGTGTCTCTGCCAGACCCCTGAGGGCCCCTACAGCTTGGCTGGGTGTGTTGCTCCTTTCAGGGGGAGGCGAGGTGTGAGTGCTGCTGCCGGACGGGCGACTTGAGCTCTGCTTCCGTAGCTCGCCCTCATCTGCTGCTGCTTCTGCTGCTATCGTTGTTGCTGCGTCTGCATCTGCGAGGGCATCTAGAGGAGCAATAGGTGCAGCAGACGCCGCCGGTGCAGGGGAGGCAGAAGCGGCCGTCTCTGGGTCGGCTGTTTCTTCTCCGAAGCCCATTTTATTTCCGGAAGAGACTCCCGCTGTGGGTGTCTCCTCTGTGAGTCCCCAGCGCACAACCCCCAGGAGACAAGCAAGAGCGCAGCGCGAGACCTGACGGACGGTGTGTGAGAGGGAGGTGAAGGCTCCGAGGCCTCCGGACGGCTGCTGGCGCCCTGGCAAAGCAGAGCACCTCACGCTGTGGCTGCGGGCAATACCTATGCCTCCCTTGCAGCCCCCCGAGCCTGCAAAGCCCAGCAGTCCCGCAAGGCGCCCCCAGTCCTCCGCCCGCATAAGCACAGCCTCCGGGCCGCAGCGGGCGCAGCAAGACGCAGGCGCCGGCCACTGGCGCAGAGGCGAAGACTCCAAGAGGGCGCACACACAACTCACGGCTGCCCTACACACCTGAAAAAAACCAGAACGCATATCAGCAACAGCAAATGCGCTCCCCCGCCCCTGAACCACAAACCCTAAGCCCTCTGGTGTAGTGAAGTAGACAGGTAGCACGCAGGCGCAGATCCGCATGTCTCCGGTGCCACGGAAATTGTCTGAACTCACCTTGGGACTCTCGCTGGAGATGACGAGGGAGCTCCAGGGCAACTCGAGCTGCTCCGCCCTCTCCAGACCGAGCAGCCGGCGGAACCATTCGTCGGCTGCTTCTGCTGCTGCTGGCGGTCGCGAGGTCAGGGGCCCCTCCCTTTGAGGGTCCCTGGGGTCCCCTGCCGCTCCGGAGGCGACTCTGTGCAACAGGCGACAGCCCAGGGGGGATGGCGGTAGCAGAGTGGGCCTCCTGCACCGCAGCAGCAAACCCCAGTACGGGAGCAGCTCTCTGCCACAGAGCCGCAGCAGCCCGTCTATGCACCGCAGGCATTCTAGGCGCACAGAAGGGGAGGAAGAGCCCCGATCTGGCGCTGCACTGGGAGCTTCCTCCTCTGAACAGGAGGCCCTAACTGGGAAGCAGCCCCCCCCTACATGAGGGGTAGGGCCCCCCCTCCAGCTAAGACCCGTTGGGGGCCCGCGAGAAGCACAAGACGCAATAGAAGCAGCAGCTGCAGGAGGGGAAGCGCGCCTTTTGCTGCCTTCCACATCGCTCTCTTGCGTCGAGGCGAAGTCAGTCGTCAGGCCACAAGAGGGGCCCCAGCCTACTGCAGGAGCTGCGTTTCGCAGCTGAAACGGTTGCGGCACCGCAGCAGCGGCAACGGGCTGCGCCAGCGCCAGAGGCAACAACAGCAACAGCAACTCGACACTCAGCTCTCCCTCTGCACCAAGGGGAGCCACCGTAGATGCAAAAGGGCTTGTACCTTCTGCTGCAGTGCAGAGGCCTCTACCGTCAGCAGAAGCAGCAGCGGCACTCCTTGCTCGCGCCAGCTCGCATAGGAGGGAATGAATCGACAGGAGGAGCGATCTTATGAGTGCCACGTGCTTCGGCTGCGCAGCAGCTAGACCCAAGCCTAAAACGTGCTGTTGCTGTTGCTGCTGCTTCAGATAACGCTGCATCCCTCGGTCGTTGCGTGGACGGGGCTCGGACCCCAGCACCCGGTGCATCGCGACTGCAGCGGCAACAGCAGCGGCAAGAGCCTCTCCCAGTGCAGCCGAACCCCGAGCTCCCAGTTGAGGAGCTGTGCGGAATGCAGCTGCGACGCATCCCAAAGCCTGGCGCTGCACCATGATTTCTGCAGAATTCGCCGTTGTGCTGCAGCGCCAGTGGGCGGCAATCAGCAGCAGCGTAGCCCGTGCTGCCTCAGTTGCATCCCTCTGGGCTGCGCTCTCGCTCTTCTGCTGCATATGGGAGGCGAAAGCAAGGCCTAATGCACCCCCGAATTCTCTCAAAAAGGCAACTACTGCTGCAGTTGCACCCCGAGAATCACCTGCCTCTGCACAAACCGTCGCACGGCGGGCCAGAGAAGCCAGGGAACCCTGCAAGCGCTGCTCTTCTCGACCCTCCTGCTGGATGTGGCAATGATGCTCGAGCAGTTCGAGGAGTCTGGTGCACATTTGGGCGTGGCGTCGCTGCAGATACGCGGTGTAGGTCAACCCCCTGTGAGGGACCGCAGCGCTGCCTCCCCGCTGCCTCTGGCTATGTGCGCTTCCTTCTGCCTCGCCAGGAGGGTCAAAGGCGTCATTCTTCTTCCCCTCAGAGGAAAATCGGCCCGATTGGGGCCCCAAGGGTCCGCCCATCTTCTCTACTAAGCTGAGGGGGGCGACGCCTCACAGGCGTCCCCATGTGCCCCTCACGCCTAGGCAAAGGGACGCTAAGGAGAAATCAAATGGCATCAAGGGCTGAAATTTTATTGCCGATGAAAGGCAAGAACTATTTCTGGTTTGGGATGGGCAGCCGGAGCTGTCACTACGGCGATTCACGCTGCCTGCTTGCAAACCCCCGAGCCGCAGCGCCGGTGCAAGAAGGCAATTTGCCTTGTTCTGCATTCATGTTCGAATGATTGTTAAGCGAGTATGCGAATTGGGTTTAGCGACGGAGGTCCCTTCTAATACGCCAGCAAAACATGCAGGCAGAGCCTTCGGCGGTGCTGAGGCTGGGGCAGCCACAGTGTTATGACAATATAGGCCCTTGCTCAGCCAAAAGCTTGTTCTTTTAAATACTAATGGACTCTCCAAAGGCACTTCGAGTTTGATTTCCCTTCCAAAATTGCACTCTGCGGTTGCTGCCCGGCGCAGGCTGTGGACAGCCCGATGTCTGTCTGCACGGAGAAGATTTGCATCCCTGCAATGTTTGCGTTTTCCTTCACCAGTATTTCGTGCTTATCTTGTCTTTATTTATACTTTTTCTTTATCATTATTTCCCGATTATATGCGGGTTATTAGTCTGCTGAAGGGCACCGCGAAGAACCTGCCATGGCCAGAATAGCGTCATGCTGGTGGGGCTTGTGCATTTAGAGGCCCCAGAAGGCAGGCAGGAGAAGCCAAGTGCAAATTTACTAACACTTTCATGAAAATAGATCTGGGTGTAGCCGCCGCTTAACTGTCTCATATCATCCGGGGCTGCTTGGCCACTGCAACTGCCGTTGTGTGGCATCCTGTGTGGTACGATCGTCGTCGGTTGTAGAGGGGGGCCACTGCGTGCTGATATAGAGTCAAAACAGTTAAGACAACACTTCCCAACAGCAGCGGATGTTTCCTCCTAGGACACAGCTGAGCAAGGGCCTGCGTTGCATGCCATGTCTGACGTTGGGAAAGGCAAAGCAGTTGGTCAGCAATTGTCTGCAGTGCTACTGCATGCAGCAAACGGTGATTGGTTGTGCCTGCATGTGTGGTTGCCTTGCAGCACTGGTTTCAGCGAAGTTTATTACAACTCATTACAGGCCGCCTCCTCTACAAGGGCCCCGGGCCTTTGAGTCGCTGTAGCCAAAATCCTGGGTATGACAGAGGAGGTCAGCGGCAGTCATGGAACTCCTATGCCAAGTAGTTTGACCTCTTTGAAGCATAAGACTGTCCTTTGGTGGGTTTGGCATCCTTCGTATGGTTCTATGAACACGTGCGAGCAACGAACCGCACCGCTAAGGAACCAACGACTCGAAGCCTTGCCGCGGTGAAACAACAGCAGTATCTTCATCCCGTCCAGAGCCAAATGTTTGTGCGGCGAAGAGGGTTCATGAAGAATGTCTCTGTACTTGCTGACCCTCGGATATGACGGGCGCCCCGGTGCGGGAGCAGTGGTAGCGTTCCTTACTTGTTGAATTGTATTCCAGTTTTCGTAATTCACTTCATGTGCTACAGTTGCTGTCGTCATCCTTTTTGTTAGGAGAGGCACGACAATGATGGCTGCATCTAAGGATAGGTAACGCCTTTCCGCAGCACAACCAGAGTGTGAATCCCTTGCGAAATGCGCTGCAGTATACGCTTGTTCCCAGGCTGGTAATGGAACAAGCTATGGCAGAAGTGAGAAAGCTTACAAAAAGGAAGCCGCCGATAGGATGCTACATCGAGAAGGAACCATCCTAGGTGAATACAAGTTCCACGGTGGACTGGGAACTTTCATGTCAATGGCTCACTGCAGAGCTGTGTAGCCGGTGACCAGCTGGGCCACAAACCGGGAACAAAACAGCAAAAGGGTTTATCTTGCCTAGATGATGGACTGCTCATGACTAAAAGATAACAAAAATGGCGCGTTCGCTGCCCAAGCTAGGAAGAAGGAAAGCCAGCTTAGAAAAGACCCGGACATGAGGCATAAGCATATTGGGGCTGTAAACACCAGCCCTTCCAGAAAAAGACAAAAGGCGCTAACCAACAGCAGCCCATGGGGGCGTCCCCTCTTCAGAAGGAAATGATATTTGTAATCCCAGAGCAGGCAACTGTTTCCGGAATGCCTGAAGCAGCCCGCAACACCAGTTATAGGGCATCGCGCGAGCCTACCTCCCCATCGCAGCTAAGGAGAGGATGGTGAGAACCGGTAACAAACCACAAATGCTCGAGAGCTGTATTTTGGCTAAAGCCGCCACAGCACATCTCCACGTGCTCTGCTCCTCCTCCCGAAAAAAACATAGGCTTCAGGCATGCCAATAAAATCGACTAGCACGTCCTCAACTTGTTCTTTTGCTTAAAATCACTCCCCCCCGAAGTTGGCCTCTCACAACACTAGAGGGCGCGGAACACCGCAGCCTGCCTCCTCATCTCCACGCCTCAGGTGCTCATGTTGCGCAGGTTGCCTGCTGCCTTGTAACGTGCAGCAGGACACGCCTCATTTTTGCCCGAGAAACAGTTCGTAAGCGCACCCGGTTCTCGCTCTACAGTTCCCTAAATCGCTGACACTAGAGTCTCCTTGAAAAGCTGCTCATCCACACCACTTTACGGCAAACATATACCCGTCAAAATCGGCTTGCACAAACAAGCCCACCGAAAGATCCGATAAAGTCACCTGAGCGGTGTACGTTCGTCAGAATCCCCCCAGTTTTTATGCCAAAAATAAACTCTTACGATGGTCCGGCTCAACTTACAGACTTAAACACATCAACACTAACGACGAAGAAGAGAGCGGAGTTTCGTCGCTTAGCTTTCTCCACTTGGAAGGAAGGGAGAATTACTCAACAAGCTACGACCCCCATTGTTGGGATAGCAATGTAAACTTTAGCGCAACACAATTTCAAATTTAGGAGCGCAATCAGTGACAAGTAATTTTCTGCGGGGGATTGTACATCTGCACTGCGTCAACCCTATAACTATAGTGGGATCCGCGCTTCTCATTTTACGCCCATACTATCCTGCCTACCATCGGCGGCTGCAGTCGCAGGCATTGCGACAATGAGTGGAGCGGTTGGTTGCACTTCCTTTCCTTCCTCCAGATATCGTAATTTCTTCTGAACCCGTGCGGGGCACTAGAAGATACCTAATATTATTACGAACTCGGACAAGCCAGATTTGCGCCACGGAGGATATTCTGGTGCTGCTTTCGCTTCTTCTGGCCTCGTCAGTAAGCCACGCATTAGCCACACATTAGCATGAAGACAAAAGCATCTCTCCGGCCGCTTTGTTGGTTCCTGTGGGCACGGCGCTCAAAGCTTCCTTCTCGCACTACTTGTGTTTCTTCGCGACCCTACAATCTCGCGTGAAGAAGCATGCTTGTTGCGAAGTGCTCGTTAAGTTCCTCCCCGCCTGTTGGATAACGGATCCGCCAGCTGCCGGCTGTTCTCGGGGCAGCAAGGCAGGCGAGGGGGTTTGTGTGATAAATTTCCGTGACTAGAGATGGGCAAAGACTCAACTGTAGGAAATTTTAGAAGACTGCCTAGACTTTCCCGTCTTTTTCCCGAAAAGGAACGTTTTTCAGGCTAGCTAATACTACACGCACGACCTCCCAGATGCGGGGATATGATTGGCACCCGGTGGCTGGTCTTCTGAGCCATGCAGTCGTCGATCTCAACGGAGGAGCGTCGCGAGTTAAAACACACCACGCAGGACCACCTCGAAAGCCTCTAATCTCTCCTGCTACCTCCAAGCCTTCTGGGCACAGCGGCACACGAGGAAGTGCTTCTTCGGAAAGGTGGCTGGCTATGAGTTGCAGCAAGTTACAGCCTGCTGCGAGTCAAGCTGCTCGCCAACCACACGTGCACGCACAACAAAGCCTGTTTTCGGCGCATGCAGCAACACTGTAGGCAATTGCTAAATACTCACTTGGCCTTGAGTAGACAGCTTGCGCTAAAGTAGAAAAACATGTACCAACCTTGTCAAGTTGGAGCGTGCCACTACAGGCATGGTGTGTAAATTGAATGTCTGGCCGGGGAAGGCGCGGTAGCTGGTGATTCCCTAGACCGAGTGCAATAGAATGGGGTTGTTCATGCCGCAGCGTGACGACAAATGCTACTCTTACGTCAAAATCCACTAGACAATGTTCCTTCCAAACAGACTACGCTGGCCGCCGGTGAACTGCAGGCTCCAGTAGAAAGCAGTCCAGGCGTTAAGGCCCCGAAACAGATGATCATTAGCTTCATACTCTCTATTCCTCTAAACCTGCAACGGTACACTCGCTATAGCAACGAAAATGTAATGGTAATTGATGGGAATGCATGCGCATGCGATCTGGGCTGGATGCCCTGGGGTGCGCAAGCAGCCCGAGCGATGAAGGCAGTCCAGGTAAAAGTTGAATATATATGGCAAGTGAATTTCTTTTGTGTTTCTCCTGCGTCCTGAGCAAGGAGGTACTGTGGCCTTTTCGTCATGAAGTGATCGAACGAGCTTCTTCTCCAGGTGGTGCGGAGAACCCAGCCGTTTCCTTGACCAGCAGAAAGTGGTAACAAGGTCCTGTTATACCATGGCGAGCCATGCTGTAGGTCACACCAGATACACATCTTCGTCGCAGTTGCTTTCAGCTGCATGCAGGGGGAGTAGGAGCAGCAACAGGGGGATGCCTACAGTGGCAGCAACAGGCGCAGCTTAAGCAGCAGCTGCATAGAGCCCGACGTAGCAGCTTTTGATTTTGGAGCGGTCCAGCGCACCATGCAGAAGCCACAGCATAGTCATATAATGATGGCAATCTTCCTTCAAATTTTTGCCCCCGGCTCCTCGCCCTCTACACCGGACCACTGCCCCCAGTGAAGCGGGTAGCACGCAGACCACAAGGAAGAAGCGCGCCTTTTTGATTTGTGTTGTAGTTTATTTTGTTGCTAATGGCATTCCTGCTGAGGGCGTTGCTGGGTATGTGTGCGCACATGCAGAGAAAACGCCTGATCCGTGACTTCCGCAAGCTGCAGAGCGACCCCCCGTTTGGCGTCAGCGGCGCCCCCGTGCAAAATGATATAATGCGCTGGCACGCCGTCATCTTTGGCCCAGAGGACACTCCTTGGGAGGGCGGTCAGCTCTGATCCACCCTCTGACACAACAGAAGTGCAACTGAAACGATGAAGTACTCCATCGTTCGTTTACGAAATCTATTTACATGCTCACGTATTCATTAGATCTATCCGTGTATATACATACTTAGACGTATGGGCACAGGCAACCGGAAACGTAAGTATATCTGTATATATGTGCCTTTATATATTTCGTATACGTCTTTTCGTTTGTGCACCTCAGGCACGTTCCAGTTGGAGCTCAAGTTTACAAACGACTATCCCAATAAGCCCCCGCATGTCCGATTTCTCTCCAAGCTCTTCCATCCGAACGGTGTGGATAAGGCTTTTCTAAATGTTAAAATCATAGACGCCAAAAACGTGAACACATACGCACTGAAAAGAGGGTGTGAAGGCAGTAGCTGGAGGGATTGGCCGGTGTGAAATACTGTGAGGTGAAGCGTCGCGGGTTGGGGTGGGAAGAAATTCCTAGTGTGCTGCCGTCAGTTGCATAATGAAATATGTATTTCGTATATCTGCCCCGCTCGCGTTTTGCCTGTGCAGTGTACAATGACGGGAACATCTGCCTGGACATTCTGCAGTCACAGTGGAGTCCGATATATGATATTTCTGCTATTCTCACCTCCATACAGGTAAGTTTGTCACTGCTCATGCTGCTGAAGCTGAAGGAAGTGCTGTACGAGTGGCTGTTTCTGCAGTTGCTGTGTCCGCTTGAGCTGCAGTAACAGAGATTGCATTTCTCCCCGTCTCCCGGGTGTAGTACTTGGTGCCGCTTGATATGGTTCAGTTTTGCGTTCCCCGGTGTCCGCGCCGTGCATTTGGTGCTGGTTTTTCTCAGCTCCCCTTGCTGTGAATTCTCGTGTTGGGCTGCGTCATGCTTGGTGCGGCTGCAGTCACTGTTGAGCGATCCCAACCCCAGCAGCCCGGCAAATCAAGAGGCTGCGCGTCTGTACGCGGAAAATCGGCGGGAATACAACCGCCGGGTGCAGCAATGCGCTACCGAATCTTTGAAGACGGTGGGCGCGCCCGATGCAGACGCCTCTGGCGCCGCTTCTAGCGCCGCAGCTGATATTCCTTCCGGGGCCCCCAACAGCGCTTCAGCTGATCCAGCGGCCGCCCCCGATGGGAGCGGGATGGCGGAAGGGGGCGCTCCAGAAGCAGTGCAGCAGCAGCAGACTGAGAGCGGAGAGGCGCAACCTCGTGGAGAGGAGGGGCAGGGTGGAGGCGCAGCTCCGTAGCAGCAGGGTCCCAGTGAGTAGCCCCCCTCGTTGGTGTTTAGTAGTTAGGAGGCTGGGCTGTGGTATTCCGCTACGAACACAAAGCGGCACCTGGTCTACAGCCTGGGAGCAGCACGGCGTGCAGCCCACTGAACTACAGCAGTTCCCACCGAGTGCTGTGGTCTATTTTGAGCGCACCAGCCCCAGAAGCAGCAGCAGCAGCAACAGCAGGTGCCGAGGCTTTGGCTACTAAAGGAGACGAAGTTTTTCTTAGTTTCCAGATGCGCAGGCTCAAATGGCCAGGGCCCGTCCCTCCCGCAGTTTGAGGGGCAGGAGGAGTTGAGCGGGGTCTCCAGTGGACCTCCAGAGGCCTCCCAAGAGAATGGTGGGAGGGAGAGGCAGGATAGGGGGCCCCTGGCGAGGCCGCTTAGGTTTTGGCTGCTTCGGGTACGCTGGCATGGCAGCTCCTTCCCCCAAAGCTCGACCCGAAGTTGAAAACCCTTCTTATGGGTTTTCCAGGAGCCCTCTGGTACAATGGGAACATCAACTCAGCGTTTTGGGGTCCATTTTTGACCCCCCGCCCCCCTCAGGGCATCTGAGAGAATTTTTTAAATAGACGGCATCTTCTGTTCTTTAGTCTCCATTGTAGCACGCGTCTTTCTGTCAGTGCAACTTCCACTATACGAATCCTAGGGGAATCCTGGCGCCGCGCACAGCAGTTTCGACTTGGCAGAGGCCTAAGCAGGCTGCGTGGCGGAGGAAGCCCTGTCCTTGTGGGCCTTACGCGCTGCCTGCACTGCTGCGTTCATCTCCTCCCTGCGCCACAGAGGCAGAGGCAGAATCACGCACAGAAAAACTACAAATGAACGTCATGAAAGACCACGCACAAATACTACGGGGAACGTGGGGAAGAGAGTCCCAGGCGCAGCGCAGGCACGACTGCTGTACGCGCTGCGGAAATCCACTCCACTACACAGAGACCCCCACCGCTGAACTATGAGCTATCTATTGAGTTGGTGCCTCGCCTTCCAATATGGGGTAGATGGTGTCTGGTCTACAGTCCGTTTGGTCTATGGTTTTATCCGGTTATGCGCTTGTATGCAGAGCTGTCTGTTCAGTCGCATGCATGCATGCCTATTTGGTCTTTTGGCTTGGTGCGTTTTCGTTCGTGCCTTACTAGTGTCTTTGTGAGCTTTTCTTTCGTTGTGTTGTGCCTGGATTTGCTCGTTTGTGCGTTTGTGATGTCTGTGCGTGTGTGCGTTGTTGTGGTGGCTTTGTTTGCTGGTCTAGTAACGCATCTGCCTCTCTATTTGCCTGTGTTTGAATTTGTGTATCTGGGTGTTACGCTTCGGGCTTGTTTGTTTGTTAATTGCGCATCCGTCTGTGGGCCTGTGCGTTTTGTGTCCGTTACTTGCGCATCTGTCTGTTCGCGTGTCTATGTACATTTCCTCGTTAGCTGTGCATCTGTCGGTTTACTATGTGCGGATGCATCCTTAGTTGTTTCTTTCTGTGACGCTGCACGTCACCCTTGCACGCGTTGTTTTACTTGGCAAAATCGCTTCCACTGTGCTCTGCCCACGTGTGCGTGTGAGGGTTTGTGCGCGTGGGGCTAAGGCGTGCACAGCCTTCAGGGTTTAGGTCTTCATCCTACCGAATCTGTGTATTTGTGGGATCTAGGCGAAACGCCTCCCACAAGTTGGCGACGTACTCCTCCGCCGCGCCCTCCAGGCGGCGTGCCCGCGCCAGGCGGTAGTGAGCTTTGCTCCATTCGGGCCGCAGCTGCGCCGCCTGTGCGGAACCGCAACACCACCCCGCCAACGTCCTTAAGTATGCTAGCCATGCAAAGTCACCACGGACTCCCAGAAACAGAAATTGCACGCACACAAAAGGCATATATATATATCAGGGCATAGAGTTTAGGGGTTTGGGGTTTTAGGGTCTACGATTTCACGATAAAAAAAAAACAAGGAAGGCACGCATGAAGAATGCAACGCCCACTACCGGCCAAACAAACCGACGCACAAACCAACATGCAGCAAGCAAGCCGTTCCGTCTCCGTGCAGGCTTCGTGAGCCAAGCCCTGCGGACCCCCCTCTCCCTACTCTCCCCGCCTGCGGCCCCAGCAGTGGGAGCCCCTCTATGTGGCAGTCCCTTTTCTTTCTCCTTACCACCTGCGCGTCCGCCAGGGCTCCTTGCGCGTCTTCGAGCTGTTCATGGGTGAAACTTCGGTTCGAGTAGAGGACTCCCAGCAGCTCCCGCGCTGCCGTCACTTTTGGGCACTCATCAATCGCCTGCAAACACCACAACTGTCTTGCCGCCCCTATCCTTCAGCCGTCCCACAAACTACGTTTCGGATTTAGTTCTCGCCAAAGGTCTACAGACATTTGTGAAGGCCTCGGTATCCGCAGGCTCCCCCTCACGGGGCCTCCAGGCCAACAGGCCCCATACAGGGCCGCAGGCGGAGACCTGGGTCTGCGCCCAGCGGAGAGCCTCGGCAGAAAAGCACTGGGGAAAAAGAGCTGCAACTAAGTGTGGCGTGGAGGGGCGGCTCACCAGGGTATATTTTTCCTTGGCTGCGGCGAAGTCCTTCCCATGGAAAGCGGCGTTTCCTGCTTCCTTTAGCTTCTCGACTCTCGCCAACGCTTCGGGCGGAGCGGTACCAGAAGGATCCAAAGTTATACTGAGTGATGGCGCTTCCTTAGCACCCTCAGCCAAACCATCACTCGAGACCGTTGGCCCTGTCCCTTGAGACTCTGATGCTTCTCGCCGCTGCTGCAGGCACAAAGCACGCACGAGCCGCGTCCTTCCTATGAATCGTTTCTATCTGTCTTTTTTCTCCGAAAGCTCCTTCCCCGTGGCGTGCACTTTCTGTGTCTCCGTTCATGCCTCTCCATGTCTTTCTGCCTTTCTGTGCCTCTCTTCTTGTCTTCGCTGTGTGTATCTTTGGTGCTGTACCGCCTTGACAGCCTCCTCCGGGTCCGGCACTTGCAATCTACAGGCCTCGTGGGCTGCAGCGTAGCCCCAAACGGCCGGCGTGCATTGGGCGGCATATACGTGAAAAGACAAAAATGCATGCGCATACATATTCATACACGCAAATATAAATGCATTACATGGCTGCATGTGGAGGTAAGGGGCCACTCGGAAGGCGCCCCTCGAAAGGCCGTACACAGACAGCCTCCAACAAATAACTCACTCCCCAGTAGCCAGGACTCACTTTGGGAGAGGACTTTTGAGGAGGGCGCCTTCGCTGATGGGGGCTGACGCCCAGGTGCTCGAGCAGCTGTGCCACCGCTTCAGCCTTGTGGCGCTTCGCCAGGTCTAGAGGAGTCGATCCGTCCTAAACACAGCGACCCCAGCCGACCCCACGAGGACACCCCACCCAATCAACATACAAGAAAATCCAAAGAGTATACCCCATACCCTATATCCCCAGCCCTTCGCCGTTGGTCCAGCAGTATGTGCGTAGAGAGAGGTGCATGGGCACCTAACGCCACTTACAGCGGCGGCAGTTTCCCAGTCAGCGCCTGCTTTAAGGAGTTGTTCTGCACACTTTATGCAGTTTGTTTCTGCTGCACAGTGAAGGGCTGTGAAACCTTCGGAGTCGGTGGCGTTGCAATCGGCCCCGTGCTGCAGTAGCAGCTGCAGGCAGGAGCAGTCGTTCTTCGAGGCTGCGAGGATTAAGGCAGGGGGAAAGGGGCTGCAGCAGGAGACGGAGGCGGTGATATCATGCTCACGATCGACTGCGGAAACAGAATCGGAGTCCGATCCCTGGCTGTTGTTGGGGTCTGCGCCGTGAGACAGCAGCAGCTCAAGGATCTCCTGCTGCTGTGTCACCGCCGCTATCTGTAGGGGAGTGCCCATAGAAGAAACTGCATTTGGCTGCAAAAGAAAGGCAGACAAGAGCATGCGAGTCCCACATAAGGGACTCCAAGGTAGCCCACAGGCACGTAGAAGACAGACAAACTGGAGGGATTGGCACAAAATGACTCAAGGAACGGCGGAAGAGGCGACGAGACTGAGGTACAAAGATAGGGAAAACTAGCCCGAAGGAACAAGGATACGCACAAAGCCTGAAGGAGTAGGGAGAGAGCACGCAAACCACGACGTATGGAAAAAGATAAAACTGCCCTCAGCTTTGAGGTTGTTCTTGATCTACCTAGTCTAGTGGTGGAGAGATAACCAAAGAGAACGAAGGAAGCACGACAAGCAAAAGGAGAGAGGCATAAGGATGCAAAGACATCAAGAGCGAAAGGCAACAGAGAGAGGAAGACAGAGAGAGGTCGGGATGAATCCCCAGATGCCCCTAAGAATAGCCCACATTTGCGCCTCTCTCAAGGAGCAGCTTAACAACTTCTCCCTTCTGGGCAAAGATGGCCTCGTGCACCGCGGTGCTGCCTCCTTTACTACGTGCTGCTGCGTCTCCGCCGTTGTGCAGCAGCAGCTGCAGCACCTCTGTGTTGCCTAACGAAGCAGCCGTAAAGAGAGGGGTTTTTCCATAGCTGTCTCTCGCATTGGGCGCCGAGGGGCACAGACGCAACACCAACTCCAACACCTCAGCAGAACCTCCTAAAGCTGCAAAGTGAGCTATTGTGCGTCCTTCGCCGTCACGGAAGCCTAGCAGCAAGTCGGGATCCATGCCTAGCAATTCGCATTCTGTTCCTTCTGCTGCTGCTTTACCAGCAGCTTCTGGGTGTATTCTTGCCGTTGCTGCATCTCCTCGTCCTGCTCCTGATGCTGCTGTAGGGCGTTTTGCTGGTGTTGCTGTTGCTTCTCCTCCTTCCGCAACCTCTGTTGCTGAGGCTTCTGCTGCTGCCACGTTGCGCGTTCCGTATCTTTGTGCAACTTTCCTGATAGCTGCGAGGAGTGAGTCTTTGTTGCCGCTGGCTGCAGCCTCCAGCAGGGCCGTTAGGAGGGCGCGGTCTTCCATGAGAGCCCCGCATTTGTTTTGCTTAGAGACTTCACTGCATGCATTGTTGGCTCTGCATGCAGCGTCACCATCGCCTTGGGGACCCCCCCGGCCCTTCGAGGCCTTGAGCCTACCCACCATTGTGTTGAGGGTTATTTGAAGCCTGTGAGCAACGCCCGTGTCCGAACCCCTCAAGGTGGGCCGAGTACGGCCTCGTATTGAGGGCCCTCTACAAATAATACGGAGAAAAAACAAGAACTCAGGCGATGCCGCCTAGAAGCACGGCAAAGTAGCAGCTGCCGGAGCACCAGCGCCGACGGGGTCACTGAGGCACAGCGACCAAGGACTTGGGCTTGAGGTTTAGGGATAATAAAGGGAGGTATGCCCATGAAGCTCTTCCCCCATAGCGCCGCAATATTTTTACGTACATACTGTCCCTTTTCCTACTTGCGGGGCTGCTGGGCGCCTGAGGGGCCCCCGAGAGGGGACTGGATGCCCTACGAGGCAAAGGGGGCTCGAGTACCCTTCTCAAGCGATACTACTACTATGTAGTACTTCTTGAACAGCTTTTCTTACTGTATATATTTGCTCAATTGCTTCCTCAGGGTACTGCGTACGTACCTGTCTGCTGGAGGTTGGGCAATCGGCTGTGTGCGCAGCTATTCCCTTTTGGCTTGGGACACTTCTCTTCCCGTCTTCGCTCCAAATGCCTTCAATAAGTTTCCTTCAGTCCCAAAACAATTTTGCCACCCAATCCCCCGACTGCCCTTGCAAAGCTTCGAGTTCCTGCCGCTCCCCACGCGAGCCCGTTTCTGTACGGAGGTTCAGTGTTGAGGGCTAAGGATTTGGGGGTTGAAGCTCCGCCGCTTCGTATCTAAATTGTCTTCTTGCCAAGTCTCTTTATCATCTAATGCAAGGTATCCATCCAGGCTTCATTTGTTGCTGAGGTCGGTGTGTATGCCCCTCTTGGGCCCCTATGGGCCCGGTGGGCCCCTATGAAGCCCGCTAGGGTGATTGCTTCATAACCGATTAAGGATTAGCAGTGCGATGACTTATCGTGTTGTTCGCGGGGCCGGGAAGCTGGGGGCCCCACTCTTCCGGGTGTATATTGCCCCGTGTCTTTCCAAAAGCCAGTATTTCACTTTTTCAGCCACAAGGGGGGCCGTGCAGCACAACGTGAGGCATCGTCGGGGCCTCTTTGCCCTTAACGAGAGGCCCAACTGCTCGCCTGAAGCATTCAACTCAAGCGCCTTTGGGCCGGTTGCCGAGTCCCTCGTGGGGGCCCCTCGGTGTAGGTTGGTTGGGGCCCCGACGCTCGTAGCGGGGGATCTTGGGCGATTCTCCGGTTGCGTCTTGAGGACACCCCACAGTTCCCTGCAACGGCGGTTTGTGGCGCGTGTCAAAGTGCATCGTTTTGCGGGAGTTGTGCCTCTAAAAGTCCGCTCGCCAAAGTCCGAGTGGTATATCCAGGCTGAAAAGGAGTTCCTCAGCGAAAGAGACAAAGTAACCCTAAAACTTAACCGCAAAGGCGGAAACTCTAAATGCTGCACTGGAACAGGAAATCTTAGACTTCCTCCTACCAACTAGCGGCCCTTAACCTTTTTCCCTAAACTTTAAGGGCCCTCCTCCTGTTTTGGAGCCGAGCATTTCCCCGTTGAACCCCATATAAGCACTGCCAATTCAGCTTGAAGCCCTGCGCAGGGCCCAGAGGGGATGTAGGGTGTCCTTCGGGCTGTAATCGCTGTTTGGAGTTGGGGGAGTGCTTTGTGCCTCCAGGTGCCGGAAGGGTACATAGAGCGCTGGCGGGAGGAGGACCTGGCAAGTCTCCATGTGGGTTTGCGGAACTGTCTTTCTTTGCGTTGCGCGTCAAGCAAACAATTGCATCAATGGAGGAAGCTGCAGCTATGCAGACAGCTGCAGCGACGGCCCTTCGACACAGGCAGCAGCGCCGTACAGAGTGCGTTAGGATGTACATAAAAAGGCTTCCCGCAGCTCTAGAGAACGAGGAATGCACCTCTTGGTAGTGCCTCACTCTGCATACACTCGCGGTATTTGTGAAGAAGGAATTTGTGTGCATAGCTGGGTGTGTGGAGGTGCTGCAGTGGCCAGCAGCGCAGACAAGTAGCCAAAGGCCCTTGCATGCGTCTGCTTGGAGATGCATGGTGCAAACGAACAGCAATAACTTAAGCAAGGATGGTGAAAGTTTGTCTTTGAACGCCCCACGAGTGTTAGGGGATGGGCGTGAGGACTGCGGGTGTATGAGTGGGTGATTGCCTTCAGTCGCATGCCTTACGGAGAAGATCCTCAACGCTCGGCAGCACCTCCTGCGGCACCGCCGGGACCATTCTAAAAAGCGAATTCTTTCGATTTGGCTGGCGCGGAGACAGCGGGTCATGAAGTACCTCTACAGGACGGACTTCGACCTCTATAAACTTACTTGCAATCTTCTCCGTAAGCACGACTTCCTCGCGGCCCGAGGAACCCGGCAATTGAGCCTCTTCGAAGTCCGCTGACTCCTCCAGTTGTTGCTGCATCCAGCATGGCCTCCTTCTCCCATTTCCACATAGGCGTAGAGCGAAACCAGTCTAGGGCATAGAGTGTGGAGGCCCAAGGCAGGCCTAGGGTGTAGGATTCACTAGGAGTGTTTGCGCCGCAGGCATAAAGTGCGTTCACTTCGCTATACCGGACTCGAGGGACAGACAGCGGGTGAGGCGCATCAGGCAGCTTCATGATATCCCCCATCTGTCTCACCTCTTTTTGATCTATTCGATTCGTTTTGTTGCATGTAGAGGGCTGGCTCTCAGAAGGGCCAGCAACAGAAAATATATAACCAGCAACGATGCGCGCTGCTGCTGCTGCTGTTTGGCAGGCCATAAGTCCGGTGGCCATCGACGGAGATCGCTGCAAATTCTTAATTCGACAGCGTTTGTGGAAGGGTGCGTCTTTGCTGTCTTCTGTGGCTGTGTCCATCGTGGAGAACTGGAGACCCTTTGTCACTAGTGAATAGAAACGCTTGTTACGTCTGTCTTATTCAAGCTTATTTACTGGCGCATAGGCTGGAGCACGTTTATGCAGGCTGAATAAATAGTTTAATTGGGTTGCCTTCCTTTGTGGCGAGGCTTAGCCCCGTGCAGTGAAGCGTGGTGGGTAGGGCCTGCTCCTGTTGTCTTGGCATGGGAGGACGGCGCCACACCCTGTGCGGCGCGGGTTTGTGAATGCGAAAGGGCTGTGCTGCCCCGGGTGGTCTCCAATGGCAGAGCTTTAGGAGGGTTGTGGTGGGGTAATGTATGGATATAATGCTGGGGATTTAGGAGTAGGGTTTGGGGACTACCATTGTCCCAGAGATTTGGGACGAACTGTTTGCGTGCTTCAGGTCGCTACCGTCCGAGGCCTGTGAAACAAGCGGAGGGCAAGACTGTTCGGTACACACGCCATGTCATGGAGCAGCCACCACCGGGTTGGAATAGTGAGGCTTGTCGAGGGAATGGAAGGCCAGCAATCAGGCAGCTAAGGCTCCGTCGGCTTTCCCGCACCTATAGCTTCTTACAGCGTAAAGCCGAAACCCTCATGAAATGCTTATGGTGTTTGGTCTGCGCTGTGGATGTGTTCATACGCTGCAGTGCCCCACGAGACAAAGCCGCGAATCAGCCGGGCCTGGCCGTATGGCGTCAAGGAGGAGCGACTCAAAGGGGAGTATACAATCCCCAATCCCACAGCTGCAGGCATAGGGTACTGCCCTGTGCCGCTCTTCTTTTGACGCCACACTGCAGCAACAGCCTCTTAAAGAGATGCTCACCGTACAAACCAGCTTTAGGATACCTTGCCTCTCCGTAGGAAACGGTTTGTCTTCGTAGGACGTGGAGTACCCCTTGGCCGGATGGCATGGGCGAACCAGCGCTCCCCCATGGTACATTGCCGGCCGAGCCAGGGGTTTCCATGTCACGCTCTTCCTCGTCAATCGGGCGCATATGCATGGTGTAAAGGGGCCTCTTCTATGTGGTAGAGGAGCTTCCGGTGTGCTACAGAGCGGCCCCAAGCCGCTGTAGCGGTGCACCCTCGTCAGCTTGTTGTAGCGCTGCCCCCAGTCTCCGGCAGGCGAGCCTTTGCAGCTCTGCTCTCCTGGACCTTCTGTAGCTGGGGAGTTGTCAAATGGCAGCGGCGAGTCGGGGATAGCAACCGCTTAAGGGTACGTTGGTGCTGGAGTGCCCTGCGCTTCTTTTTCATATATGGCAGACGGAGCCACGGTGAAGTTGAGGCCCGCAGGAGTGCACCACTTGGGGGAATTTCGAGGGGCTTCGCTGCTTAGTAGGCAATAAATAAAATGGCACCTCAAGGGTTCTGGCAGTGGTAGATTTCCAGATTTCGACAATGGAGTGACTTGCTACTGCTGCGGCTCGGCCGTCCGCCACACCCGTAAAACTTTGCCACTTGGCGGGTTCCATGTCACTGCGATCTGCGCGCAACCGAGGAAGACTAGGATAACTCCCCTTCTTGCAAACTAACGCGCCCAAGCAATAGTGGAAAACAGTGCCGTAGGGTGTTAGCACCCGGAATGCTTACGCTGCTGCTAACAACGGACGGCGCGGAGTCCCGCCTTAAGGTCTCTCAACCCCGATTAGAGGCCCGCACCGGCGGGCAGCTGAGCCCTTAACAGCTCAGCGCGAACAGGGAGACACAACATTTCTCAAGGGGCTTTAAGGGCCGGCGAGCTGCTCTGGGCCGCACCATCCATACTGGCAGTTCCTAGGGCCGCATATGCGTTTCCTGCTCAAGGCAGCAATGGACAACCAAATAAAGCCGAAATGCGACAGGCGCGCGGAAGTACGCTGGGCAGCGCTTGACCTATAGAGAGGCTTTCCTATCTAGTGCTGCGCGGCCCGACAAGGGCACGTTTATATAAGCGAATAGGATTTATGGAAGACTTTTTTGTTAGATTCTGAGCACTATTCTCTTCGAAAAAGATTTTGGGAATTTCCCATGCCATCTTCCGGTGCCGCGGTCCTTTAGCAGAGTTGCTCTACTTTGCAGGAACTGTGCGTGAAATTCGAGTCTTTCGAGGGATTTTGCGCCGAAAAACTGCCGACTCTTAACAATCCTAGCTCCAATCCTGTAGCAACACAAAAAAAATCGCAGCATGGCAGCAACGGCACCATGCGCCGCCAGTGCTGCTGCAATTTATGCTCTTCCTGCACTAGCTTCTGCTGCTACGGTTGTTGCTGCTGCTGATGCAGGGTGTGTGGGTTCTGTTGCCAGCAGTGCAGTACCTGTGCAGCACGATGGACGTGCTGCTGCGTCTGCTGCGTCTGCTGCTGCTTCAGCGTCATGCTGCCCCATATGGGGCTGTGTCAAGGCAACATTGTGCAGTGTTGGAGCACAGGATAAGTCAAGTATTTCAGTGACTATCTCGTACGCCGAGCTTTCTGCTCCTGCTAGTGCTGCTGCTGCTTCTGCTGTTTTCGATGCTGCTGCACTTGCAGCTGGCTATGCGCCGCACTGACGCTGTTGCTGCTGAGGATCTTAGTTTTGCAGCAGCAGCAGAGACCTGCAGCAACAGCAGCGGATGAAGGCACGTTGGTACCAGCCAAGGTGGGGTGCAGCAGGTACCTCTGCTTAGCATGGTGTGCACCAAACAGTAAGGAGACGGTAGCTCGATATCTGATGCTGGTGCTCCTGCACTACTATTTTATTCAGGTAACATTGTGGCTGCGTATGTTGCTGCAGCAGCTGCCTCACCTGCACGCCGCATCGTAGCGATACCAGCGAACAAAGGACCAGCTACTGATACTGCACTTGTGGCAGCTGCACTCTTCCCACGTTCGCTGCGTTCGTTTTTGATCCTTTCCGTGGCCTTGGATACGCCCCCACCCG